CCCCCTCGCCCCCAGCCTGCCCGAAGTGCCCCGTGCCCACGGCAGGGCTCTGGCAGGGCTCTGCCCCCTCCTTCCTCTCCAAGTCAGTAATTGGTGAGGGACGTCGCAGCCAGTCGGCTCTTGAAGGTCCGCGACACGCTTGGGCTTCAAGCAGTTGCTCTTCGTGTCCGGCTTTGAGCCGGTAGCTAGAGTGAGCTGGAAATGCCTTTCAAGTTGATTTTTTTTTTTTTGATGGAAAATTGGGTTTTGAACCAAGTAACTTCATTTTGTCAAAAGGGCTGTGCTTTCCACAAAAATCTTTGGTGGGGATTTTTTTTTTCTCCTCTTTAGAAGAGCAGAATGCCTGAAAACCGTTCTGTTATGTCTAAACCCAACGCTCCTCGTCCCTCCTGAGCTTGTTTTACGTTAGGAATCTCCAGCACGTGCCTGCAGCGTGGCTTTGCCATGGAGGCTCTGCGGCGATCCGTCCGTACCATGTTATACACCTCAAGGTGATTTAGGAACCATCTCTAGTCCCTTTAATGCATGTTATGGTTTTTTATTTTGTGCGTCTTCTACTCCACTTCGTTCTGTTCCAAAGAAGCCCATAAGTGGGGCAGTGTGGGACCTGCCCGTGGTTGTTCACGTAACGCCCGTTGCTGTGCATGAAGGAGCTCTTGCTCTGGTTGTGCTGCTGTTTGCCAGCGCAGTAATTCTGCACTCGGTTCTTTCAAGCCCAGGAGTTGGCTCATCCATGAAAGCGGCTCCGTTTGCCGCGCGCTGCACCCCGAACCCATCATCGGCCAGCGCCAGCAGCTGCTGCCAGAAGTGCTGCAGACACCGGGGATGCTGACAGCGCCGGACAAACCGCGGTTGTTTTCAACCCTGGCCGCCCGACGCCGCTGGCTTTGCTGCAGCAAAAGCATCCACCTGTCCTTAAGATGGACAGAGGGTTTTCCCAGCTCCCCTCCCCTTTCTGGGACTCGCAGCCCAGCTCGTGGTGGGAGCCAAGGTCAGGGACAGTCTGGGTTTGAGGGGACTGTGCGGATGCCCGGCAGGACGGGGCAGAGATCGAAGCGCTGGGGCCACCCGTGTGGCACGAGTGTGTCTGGGGGCTTTCCCAAGCTGGGATGGCCAGGGTGGGTCCGTGTCAAGGGTTATCAGGTACAGAGACCACAAGGGAAGGGAAAAACAGCGCTTTGGGAAGAAAAACGCCTCGTAACAGAGCGGCTGTTTCCCAGTGCTGCACGTAAGCGCTCGGAGAACTGTGGATATGGGAGATGAAATACTCGGCAGCAGCATCTCGCCGGGCGGGCGGTGTGGGTGAGGGCAGACAGGAGGGAGCTGGAGAGAGGGTGAGTGAGAGCCACGGTGGTTTTAAGGGATTGGATCGTCGCCGTGTTTTCTGTTGGCTTCGAGGTTCTGGCGTTCGCTAGTAGCGACCTATTTAAGCAGGTCCTGCCGCAGTGTGACCCACGGTGCTGACACCCGTCCTGAAACATTCACGGATAATCCGGCGCCGGCAGACACTTCCCTTCAGCCAGGGAAGTGCTCACTGGGTGCTGCCGCCTTCCAGTCGTTCACAGCTGCGATGGGCAGAGAGAGAAGTGCCCCGTCCCTTCTCCCTCCCAGCCGCGGTGGCACTCACCTCGGCGTTCACCCCGGTAGGAGGGTGCAGGAGTGTCTCTGCCTCGAGCCACCTGCTCCGCTGGAGCCGGGGAGAGAGCACGTGCTGGGCTCTTCAGGCAAAGACTTGGCACGTTGCTGGTCGAGGATGCCTGCGGTGCCGTGCGGAGCGGGCAGTCCTGGCACGGGCTCAGCTGCGAGAAGAGCCAGGTGGTGCCTTGCAGAAGTGGACCTAAGTTAATATTTGTAGCCCTTGGCCTCTTGCAGCTCACCTTACGGGTGGCTGGCTGCCCAGAAGCCCCCCAGCACGAGCTCTGGGAGGTCCTGGGGCACAGCTTGTCCTTGCTCAGCCTTGGGCTACTGGTCCTGCTGCACTGTGCAGCCCTTCTTGGGGCGATGAAGCACCCGCTGGCGGTGTGGACCGAGCTCCCTTGGTGGCGGCGTTGGCCTCCGCTTCCCCAGCCCGACGGGCAGCGTGGGCACTCCTGGTGCCTGACCTCGGCCGTGAGCAGTGGAAGCGCGTCAGGACTTTGGTGCTTTGTTTTCCCTCTCTGCGTGTCCAGGAAGGGTCGAGATGTTGAACCCAATCAGTGGCAAAGTCGTCCATCAGCTGGGCTTGCCGGCTGAAAATCAGCATTAAAGATCAAATTAGAAACGTATGTAGATTAAGAGCAAAACTAATGGCTTGACCTAGATAAAGCGAGCGCCCGGGACAGCAGCACGTTGTCTGCTGAGTGAAATCTCAGCCAATTATGAATTCAGATTGCTTGAAACTCTTAATTGTGATCCTCTCTGTGGAGCACGGCCCGTGCCTGTGGTGGCTGCCCGTGCTGGCGGAGCGCTGCCCGTGCCGGTGGTGGCTGCAGCTGCGCCGGGGGTGGGTGCAAGGTTATGCTGCCCAGCAGCTCCCTGCGAGGGAGAGATGACAGCAAGAAAGACTTTGGCTGAAGAGCTCTGGGCAGCTCCTCCCGTCCGTGATTTGTGGTGGAAGGAGGTTTCGGAGACAGGATTTTGCCTTAATTATTCACTGCCATCCTTTGCTTCTCCATCTGCTCTGTTCCTGTTGGAGGAGCCGGATAAGGGCTGGCTCAGAGGAGGCTTTTCCTTTGCTGTTGCTGAGGCTTCTGTTGATTGACAAGCTGGAAATAAAATAATTAAAAAAAAAGTGTTCTGTAACACTTTTGTATCTGCTCTTTGCTAAAGGAAGAGCAGTAAGTCAGGTGGAAAGCCCGTCTTCGTTATGCTCCAGAGAGGTGCCTCTGCGGTGGGCTGACGTGAGGCTCCAGATTGGAAAAAAATAAAACGTCCCTGTGCTCGACAAGGGGCGTGCGGAAAGTCGATCGTTATTCCGAGGCGCTTAGGAGAGTGGTGGGGTAGAGAAACGAGGAGAGAAGCTTCCTGCACGCTGCAGCGCAGCACTTCTTCGCCCTGGGACTTGTGAGCGTGTTCTCACTCGCGCTGTGAGTCACTCCGATTGCTGCTTAATTTGTAATTTACTCGACTGCCATGGGGCTGAACTGGATTTCTGCTATATATACGTACACATCTGTATGTGTTTTCCCCACACAAAGAGGAGTGAGCTGGGAATGGGGGTTACGCTTGTGGCTGCTGTGACTCCTACGTGGAACGTGGGGGCCGTTCCCAGCAGACATACAGGTGGCTCTGGTGGTGCTGTAGCCCTCGGCTCCTCC